CCCCGATGAGAAGCACATTACTTCCTTTCTGGCGCAGGGAGGATGTCTTTCATATAGGAATTTCATCTCCTGCTTTGAAGAAAAAGAAAGGGAAGAGTGTTTTCCTTTGAGTTGCTGTTTCTCAAGTGCCTTTGGCTCAAGGCAGTCAGTTCGCCAGAGTGTCACGTTTTGGGGTGGCGTGTGCTGAACTCCTTCACGTGCAGCAGGTCTGAGGTGGGGCTCACAAGCTTGGGTAGCGCGGCATGAGATGGCTCTGGTTGAATGTAACGTACAGAGAAACGTACACTGGCTTCCTCTAAAGTATCACTCACACGAGGACAACTGTATTCATGACTATTCCATTTTTAAAATCCCACTTACATTTTCCCAGCGTTATCAGAGTTAATTCCTTACATATCAAACCGCTGAGGACAGGGCTATTTGAGGCCTATTTTTTGAAACAGGGTCTCTAGGAAGATTTTTACAAATTATTCATCCATGTTATTTCATTGAGCATTATTCTACACTTGATACAGTTGTTTTAAGGTGTTAAAGCAATCAAACAGGGAGACGGCAGACTGAGGTTGTTTTAGGTTAGGTCTAGAGGTTAAGTTGCTACCTTGTGGATAATAACACAGCACCATCCAAAAACAATCTACTATCTTATGTACAAATTTATGACTTAAAACTTCCAACGTGGTTAATTTTCAAACTACCAAAAACTTATTTTTAACCCCCCGGATAACAAGCCTACCGGCCCGTCACTGAACCCAAGACTGCTTTACTCACAGTCTTGTCTCTCCCAGAGCAGGATCTTAAACCAGATAGTCAGGAGTCATGTGATCAGCACTAGTGAGGCCATCCGCCTGGTAAGACCTTGGCCACCCCAGAAGTGAAAGTGACCTTGTACAATTTCCTCGTGCCCACTCCCTTCTGCCTATAAAAGTCCTTCCCTTTTGGACGTACCTTGGGGCTCCTTTCCATCTGCTGGATGGGATGCTGCCTGACTCATGCATCATTAAATAAAGCCAGGAAGATCGATAAAATTTTCTCAGTTGAATTCTTAACACCCCCAAAATTATTTTTTAAACCACCACGATTTGGGGGCGACTGGGCGGCTTAGTCGAAGCATCTGACTTCGGCTCAGGTCATGAGTTCAAGCCCCATGTCAGGCTCTGTGCTCACAGCTTGGAGCCTGGAGCCTGCTTCGGATTCTGTGTCTCCCCCTCTCTCTGCCCCTCCCCTGCTCACACTCTGTCTCTGTGTCTCAAAAATAAATGTTAAAAATTTTTTTCTAAATACCCCTATTCAGTAGACTCAAAAGAATGCACCTCCTTGCCAGATATGAATTTAGAAGAAGGAGCAAAGAGTTTAGATGAAGGAGCAAAGGGCCTTTCGGAATGTCTGCGTCACCCAGGTGCCCTCCTTGGGACAGCAGGCGCTCAGTCCTAGACGTGCAAGCTAAATGTGAGCCCCTTCTGTCACATGCCATTTTGCTTTTACTGAATTTCCATCCCGGAAATTCAGTTCAGCACCTTCTGGGGGTATAAGAGGAAGAGGGACTCAAAAACACACCGGCAGTGGTTCTCAGGTGCATCCAGTCATGTTGTCACATACGTTGCTCAGTATTAAGAAAGGATTGGGGCAGAGTCCCCTCCCCTGTGGTTCTGTGAGGTGATCCGGGAGAAAAGAGACAAACGGGAGGAGAACTGCACGAAAAGCGAAACAAAACCATATCCAAAAAAGGCAGACGATATCTCCTACTGTTTAATTGATCTCAAGGAAAGAAATCCAGACTCACAAAAACTTGCACGCGCTCCGTATTATTATGTACAAAACCAAGCATACGATAATCATAACGGCAAATAACAAACATGCCCCACAGAGTCAGGCCATTTGAAACGGAGCTCTGTACGTGCACGTGAATGCATAATAAATACTGCTTCTCTGTTACCGTGAAATCCACTACCATCTACCCAGAGTTTTATGTTTTTAACCACTCAAGTAGGTGAGCATAAAGAGGACTTAGGCAATATTTAAAGCCTGAAAGGTAAAGATTCTTCCGTCTCTCCGGAAACTAACCTAATAGCTTAAGAACCACTCCAAACCTTCCTCCCTTGAGCCCGTAGCTGCCATGAGATCAACCACGTCCCCCGATCTTTGCTGACACGGGGCACCCACCCTGCCCTCGTAAGTGCCCAGTCACTTACGAACCTTTGGCCAATCGAGCCATTGAAGATTTGAGATGTAGTCTCAATCTAAATAACTGTACTAATACTGATATATTTTTGCAGTTTGTTTTTGTATGTTTTTACATTTTCCACTGGTTCTGAGCCGGAAGCAATTAATTCTTCTTACATTCTCTACATTTTTTTTTACCTTGCATCATTTTAATTGGTTGAAGCATAACATGGATGTAAACAATTCCCCAGAAATGAGAGGCACTTCTCTGAATGCTGAATAAACGACTCATGTCCCCAGACCAGCAGGACAATCGGTGGCTGCGACCGGACCAGCCAGAGGAGGTCCCGACTCCCACTTGCCAGGGCCATCTGCGTGAAAATGGCCACACTCCTGTCTGCAGCGTTTACAAAAGGAGGCTGTGCTGGGGATGTGTACCAGAAATCACAGAATTCAAATTGTGCTTACGTTCTGCAGTGAACCTATGCAGTTCATCAGGAGCCCTGATCCCGTTGCAAGAATACTGGTTAAAATAAAGCATCAACCTGAGGCAAAAAAGTAAACAGGCAAAGTCACTTTCACAGGCTTTTAAAATGGTCTCAACAGGTGACATTATAACTATTCCCCAAATTAGGCAACTGACTTCAAGTCAAAGAGCAAGGAACAAATGGAACATCTCAGGTGCCACCTGTAAATTTCTTAATCATGTTGGCTCCGACACACGCGAGGCAAAGAAGTCCGACAGCCTCACCCTGGGGGGTGTCCAAGACTACCCAAAGGGAGCATTACCAGAGAAGGCAGCGACGCAGCCTAAACCCCGTAGTATCGGTAACAGGAGTATATATATGTGTGTATAACGTGCTTACAGAGATTTATCGGCCCTGAAATGTTATCAAGAGCTGTGTAAAAATCTGAGTAGAGAAAGGATTGTGCACGAGGTGCAGTACCAGCCGTGTATAAAGGACCAGTCCGTGTGCACTCACGAGCAGCAGGTGGGGTGCAGGATACACGGGGTGCCACCCAGGAAGCACAGAAAGGTGAAGTAAGATCAGCGCTGTTTTCAAGTTACAATACAGACACCGGGTGTGGAAGTGACAGCGTCACCGAGAACTCGGGAAGGGATGCCCGCTGGATGCACGTCTTTGTTCACATCCAAAGGTACAAGATCTTCGTGTGAAGAGCATGCTTTCTCCCATAGGGTGCTGTGAAAGATAGACTCTAACAGGGAATCCGTAAAACTCTAGACATAAACTCTTGGAAGAAAAAAATGACCTTGAAAATGTGTGTATGTTGTTTAACGTTATCAAAGTCAGATTTTAAAATGGCACTTTAATATTGAACTTCTGCCCATGATTGTTTTATTTACAAATGCATCTTGTCCTTAGGCTATTAACTTAAAGCATCTTAGATGGCGCTTGGATGGCAGGGTCCACGGAGCCTGCAGGCTGGTATGCATTTTCAAATGAAAAGAGCCAAGTTTTTAGTTTGCCCTGAAGGTGAAAAAATTGAAACCCATGTGTATGAAAACAAAGAGAGTGATCATTTAAAGACATAAAATCAGCTACAGTCATCAAAACATACTGGATATCCAGCAGTCAACCGAAGGTTTTAAAGATATTCACAGTAGCAACAGAATTGAATCTGTATGTGACTTGTGTCACAGCACAAGTGTATGGACAAGCAGGCATCACTTAAGGACAGTTAAATAAGCAGCATCTAGGATCTAGGAGAGCCAGGGAGCCAGGGACCAGCTAAGGATGTTAAGAAGACACTCAGTAATCCCTATCATTCCTATCCAATTGCCCCTCTCCTGAAATGTGTCCTCACTCCTCTGCCCCGAAGCAAGGTGGTAAAATCCTGCTCTTGCAAAAGTAAAACAGATCTTTATACTGACTACGGACAGCAGGATATCCAAATCAGTAATGGAATGACTGTGACAGTCACATGTGGCTCTGTGTGTGTCTGATTGTAGGCCTTTCATGTACAAACTCTAAAAAGGTGGTTTTTCTGTGCACCTTCTTCCAGAAGCCATACATGCACTGCATGTATGCACATGCATACAGAAACACTGGGGTGCCAAAAAGTTCACGTTTATCTCCCACCAAACAGCAGCGGTCCTGCCGAGACCCGCTAACTTACAGCCGGACAAAGTCTTGGCACCACTTTAACCGTAAATACAAAGACTCCAAAGGCGGACTTCCCCACCACCTCGACATTTAAAATACTTTAAAGAGAAAACAACTGTGAAAGTGCTAGATTCCATGGTCTAGAAAGAGCAAGCAGCTTAGTGATACATAACTTTGCTCAAAAGAGATGCTCCCAAACTTGAGAAAGAGCTGAAGCTTCTCCTCGGGCTGAAGTGGACACAACTTCTGTTTGGACAGCTCATGAGGAGGACACCAAGAACTCGATCTCAAACGTTTCAGATCCCACAGGGGTTCAAAGCAGTACGTATGCGCTACTTTCTACACGCAGGCGCACTGCAAGTGGGGAGCTGAACGTTACCGCCTGCCTTATGTTGTGGGCTGGCTGCTGTTTCCAGTTCAGACCTCTCTTTCCCTGTCATTTTCTTCATATGGCACAGATCTTGGTTAAATTTTCCTCAAAAGGGCTCTCACTTGCTTAAGACAGTCAAGACAAAGAAAGGCTTATTGAAAGACACCTTTGTTTGGAAATAAGCCCAGTGTGGCTGGGGTAAGGGTGGGGATGCACTTAAAGGGCCAGTCAACGACTTACATGTCAGTCATCATAAAATGTCCTAAAATGCACCGGATCGTGACTTGTGCAAGAGCTCTCATGTTTAGGTATCCGCGGGTCTTTGCAATTCGTTACTTCAGTTATTATTTGAATCTGTATGTGCTTTGCTTTACTCCATTGGTTTTGAATTTCTTCTCACTGGATATGGTGGCCTGAGAGCAGGTGCTGGCACTGCCCTTCTTCTTCAGGTTCCCGTGAGCTTGCGCTCTGGGGGCTCCGCAGGAGTCCAGGGTGGTCACCGCCTGCGCCGAAGCACCGCCACCGCCGCTGTCCGCGCGGGGGCCGCTGTCACTGCAGGGCAGGTCCCGGCGCTGCGGCCTGGGGCTCTTACTCCATTTCTTTTTCTGCTCCTCTGTCCTGCCCTCCAAGGCTGGCTTCTGCGAACTTGGTCCGCCGCTCCGCGCCACGTGGACAGCTTTGCGGGGGGTGTCAAAGGCGTAATAGGATGGACGGGCTTCCTCGAGGTGCAGGTCTCTCCTTCGGGAAGCGCCTGGCTTGGGAGCCCCCTCTTGGTGAGGCCTGGCGGGAGCGCTGACCACCAGCTTGCTTCTGCCTGGGCTTTTCAGAGCCCCCGCCATGCCGGGGGCGGTGGGAGGCCTGGCCTTGGCGCCCTTCCCCTTCTCACCCTGCACGGTCTGCATCTGCAGCCACTCGAGCTGGAGCAGCCTGTCGATGTACCTGGCGAGCAGCCCCGCAGCGCCGCCCTGAGCCGCTGGCCTGGGCTCGGCGCCCGGTGGCACGGCCAGGTCGCGGAGGTCCCAGGAGCTGAACGGGGCCGGGAGGAAGTCCGCGTAGCGGTAGGTGGTCTGCGTGCCCCGCGGGTCGGGGTCCGGGTCCGGGTCGGCGGCATCGATCTCCTCCGCTCGCAGGTGCAGCTCCGGGGGCGCGAGCGCGGAAGGCGGCACCGGGACTCTCTCCGAGTCCGACAAGTCGCTGGCGCTGTCCTCGTCTGCGCCCTCCTTCATGATTTTCATGCACTGAAGGTCGAGAAACAGCTCGTTCCCCGAGGCGCCCCGACACCTGGGGTCCAGGGGGCTCCTTTTGGGTTTGCCTTCCGGGGAAACGCTTTCTCTGAGTCTGTCCACGGGCAGATGGGGGGGCACCTGGGGTGCCTGGGATTTACTCTGCCTTTTTCCTGAAGAGTTTTTTGAACGTTGTGCTTTATTCCAAGATGGGCCAGCATTCATATTGCTGTGAGAGATAAAACTGTAATTCTTAGTTCATTGGACAAGACCTGGCCTGCCGGTGATTAAACAGACAACAGGCACCCGCCAGTGGCGTTTCGGTTGTCCCCAGGAAGGCCCGCATGGCCCCTGCCCAGCCGGTGGTGCTCACAGAGCAACTGGGCACACAGGATGCCACTCAAGAAACGTGACAGGACACAGGTGCCCAGAGTGGATGCGTGGATTTTGTCTGATACCAGATCCCTTTAGGAAAAACACTGACAGTTCTTAAAGGGCTTGTAATTTTAGACCAGTCGTGTATATTCCAAAACAAACAAACAAACAAACAAACAAACAAACAAAAAAAACCCCACCAGCTTGGAGAAAATCTGTTGTAAACTCTCAATCTGTTCTGTTAATGATGAACAGTGTTTAACAACAGTGACAAGTAAAAGCCACAGCTTTCTTTGACAAGCCTATTTTCAATGAAAAGTAAACAAGGTGTAAAATGCAAGTTGTATAGAACTTAGTCACTGATTGGGGCGCCTGGGTGGCGCAGTCGGTTAAGCGTCCG